CCGCAAATAATATACTAATATTATGTTATAGGTAATACCCGAAATTCGTCAAAACTAGTTGTTTTTACTAACCCCTTTCGTAAAAACTGACTTTAACTAGTTAAAGAATTAACTTCAAGTTTAAATATCTTTAAAAATATTATCACGTGGTCTTTATCGGTTCGGTGACAGCGATCGGCCGAGATGTCTACTGTAGTAATTATTGTTATTTATAAAATAATAACATTGCTCTATTAGTCAGTGCTTGAATTGGGATAAGATGAGAAAGAGGATGAAGTCTAAAAAAAAAGGTTCGCACCTACATATGTAAATGTCTTATTCATTAATATATAACTACAAGGAGTACGTAAAAATATTTTCTGAAAATAACAGTGGGTCTCCGCCTCCGCGTCCACATACAATTCAAGGACAGCACCGAGTGATGGTCAACGCTCAGCCGACACATGGGTTATGCGGATATACATGTGTGGTACTGTGGTTATAGTATGTGTCCTCACCTAGGCGATAGGTACCATAGTAATTAATAATAGGTACATATAATCACAAAAATATAGTGAAATATAATTATAATAACCTAACCTAACCTAACTTACACACAGAATAAATTTTCATTTATAATTATATAATTTATTATACTTGTATGTATACCATTACTATGTCTACTATTTCTATATTATATCTATGTGATTAATATTAATTAAAAAAAATTACATAAATACATTCCGATGGCATTCTACAGATAGTTAAAGCGACAGCAAAATGCAACATCTATACACATATCTTCTGTCCTCGGGTTTCTGTATAGTTTTCATGGGCATACCGCAAACAGTTCAGGTGACCGGAAGATGTGCGTTCACCTCCTCCCAAGGAAAGACCTGGGCGTGTGGGTACTCGAGGCACTCAAGGTGTCCACTGATAGCTTCCACTTCCCTCAGGCCATTAAATTCCAGACATAATAGATCATCGTCGGAAACTGTTGTACGAATAAACAAGGAAACAATACATTATAAACGCCTTTGCAGACGCTATTAATATCTGTTCAGGATATGTGTCGGTTCCTATGATATCTTATCACTCATCTCGGGAGTTTGGATCTCCCTTAGTAATGTCAATAAGAACTAATTTGCAGCAACAACGAACACTGATTTTCAACGTTTCCAACTCGTCGTAAAATGGTTTTTCTTAATCGTTGCATCTCATATAAGCAAGTTTTTTGAGCGAAAACATCTTAAAATTGAACTGAAAGAATTAAATATATATCTTATACTTAAATTAAAATAGGTATTTAATAATATGATATCATATGATATAGTTTGTTTTAAATTTTTAATCTTAAGCTATGTATTTATCATGATAATTTAATATAAGACACTTGATATATATATATATATAGCAGTATTCTGAATTATGCATATAAATTATAATATATATATATAGCAGTTAAATAACATTAAATCGATTTTTTTTATCAACAGGTAACGTTGAAGTTTGACATATGTTCTCAGTATGAAAATGTTCAGTTTTTGTTTTTTAAAATTTATAAAATTTTAAAATTTTTTATTGCTAAGAATTGAAAATTTAAATCAATGTAAATTTCTTTGAATTATTGCTTTCGACAATTCTGTGTTCTTAAAAGTTAATAAAAATAATAACTTTTTTAATCGTTTACTAGGTTTTATAATAATTGAATATTCAAAACATAATGAAATGTTTTTTCAAAAATGAAGTACATCACCTACTTTTTAAAGGGATGCCACACCCATGCGTTGTCTCTATTCTACAAACTAATAACTTAGCAAATTGTATGTTCTGAATTATTCTTTTAACTGTATTAATTTAAATTTTTGAGTGAACTGACCTAAAACCAAATTTAGAAGCAAGAATATTATCTAACCAATGACATAGTTGTTTTTATATTTTAATTTTAGAGCAAGTTATAGCTTTATAAGCATTTTAAAATGTTCAAACAAATTATACAATGTCAAACGCACCCCCCACAACTAATAATTGAAGTTAAGATGTTCAGTTGTGAAAGTGCTTATAGAGCTGCAGTTGACTGGATTTGATTATGTAAACAGATAATCCTAACAATAATGTTAAACACATAGTTACCTATTTAAATAGGAAGGTATCTACTTAACTACTTTTGCATATCTAAAAAACAATATATAAAATAATAGTTATTAATATTATGTGTGGTAATATTCGGTAACTGGTGGTATATTGTTGGAAATACACGGTAATGTGATACCCACTTAGTAGGTAGATATACCTTTACATATTACAAACCTTCAAAATCTCTTCTTCTCATCTATAAATTTAAAGTACCTGCCTGAAAGGTTAGACAATATTATGACGCAGAAAAAAAATTAGTTTAATATGTCTCACTGTCTCAGTTATTTGGTTTGGTGTCTAATAAAATATATTCTGTTTTATTATATTATTAGTAGTGAAAAAAAATTTTAACACAAAACTATAAAACTAAACTAGCATTTGATTAGAAAATATAAACTTATTTTATGAAATATTTATTCTATGTATTACTTATATTATCATTATTAATTCGTCAGGAGCAATTGGGACATCTTATAACCTTTTTTCGAACTTGAATTATATTTTATTATTGTAGTGTTAGTAATATGTATAATATGTATACTTAAAAGTAGTGTGTATAATACAATAATAATAAAATTAAGTATTTTACAATATTAACAGTTGTTGGGTGTTTTTTATAATTAATGTAAATTTGTTATTGTTGAGGCCGCAGTGAAAATTACACCGCTATCGCGAATGACACGAATACACCACCGACCGACACACTCAACAGTCACACATAATTATCATTATTTATATTGTTTTTATTTTTATATTTAATTATGTTGTGTGTGAATATTAGCTAATATAATATGTAAATTAAGTTAGCACGTATCGGCAGCCGCTGGATCGTCGATGCACGACTTTGCACAGCCGCCGTATGTATTTCAGTCGTCTTTTTCCGTTGTTTCGTGTCAACGCGAAACAAGTATTATACTTTGTAGGCGCAAATCGCCAAATTCATTTTATTTTGTGGGCGCCAATCGCCACTTGTATTATTTATTTTTATATTGCATTTTCACCGGTTTTTTTATAATTTTTATATTTGTTTGTCCTCGCTGATCGCCGGTTGTTGTTATTTATTATTATATTGTGTGTGTGTGTGTGTGTGTGTGTGTGTGTGTGTGTGTGTGTGTCAATTACCATTTTTGTAGGCACAGGTAGCAGCTGGCCAGCCGTGCACCGTCATATTTGTGTGTTTTTCTTTTCTATTATATATTATTTTATCATACTGTTAGGCCAAAAGGGCCGTTTATTTATTATAGTTATTTAACCATATTGTTGGGCCAGAAGGGCGCCACCCCTTATTATCTTATTATCATTGGTAGTAAGTATCTTGTTATCGTATATTATTTAAATTCGTATTATACAGCAACTCAGAGTTACCACAAACCGTGTTATCGTTATTTTAGTTTTTAAGCACACACCCACATATATACACACTTACACACCCACCGAACACTAGCACTCTCTAGTCTTGATCGGCGATCCCGTCCACTTCTACAGAGTCGCTATACATATATACACACCTATTACACAGGTCAGTGCGTACCAAGTGCGTACGGAGTATTTTGGTGACCGGGCGTCGCGTACTATTATTGTTCGTTCCCGGCCCGTACAGATATCATCTCCTTTAGAATAATTAGGGTACTAATATAAAAACCAAAATAAAAATATTGTCAAATTAATGTATGATTAGATGTTGACAATAAAAAAATTAAATACTGATAATATTTTAATCATACTTGCACGAAATGAACGCATACAAAATTAATAGAGGCTACTAATCTTAAGATCTGAAAATAGGAATATTAAGTTTTCAGTTAATTTCTAACTCTACAGAAAAAAATGTATCAGCATATATTCACTGTAATTTATAAAACCTCTGCAAGTTAATTTGAAACATAATTTAGATTTACTTTGCTTTGTGCTACTTAATAAATATTAAGATTTATTTTTCGTAATCATTTAATAGTAAAATAAACCAAGAACCAATCATAACTAGGTAAAGTCATTAAGGTAAAGTATCCTTATAATTTGTTATAATTTATAATAATAATGAAACATACAAACTTAAAACCAAAAATTCTGTATTTTTGTTTATTTGTTTTTATATATTATATACATTAAAATGGCTTCAAAGATAGAATTATCGATTGTCTATTCTTCTTTTGGTCTATACATTTAAAGGCAGTATCTTTCTTAAGGTATGTTCTTACCATTACAATGTATATTTTATAACATTAGTAAAATTATAGCTAAATAATTGTATATTGTATATTAAGATTTAATAGAACACCACACACACATGTGTTGTCTCTTTACAACTGCACCTCATGGCAAATATTAAGTTCACAATGATGATAATAATCAAAGTCATTTTTAAAATTAAAGTGAAATTACATATTATAAAATTTAAAGGGAAGATGATTTTCTTGGCTCTAGAGCATCTCATGGCTTTTTATTATATTTTAATTTTAAAGTTATGAGTACTTTAAGATGTACAAGCAATTTGCAATTTAAAAATACTTATAACTCTCTTTAAAATTAAAATATAATAAAAAGCCTATTAGATGCCTTGGATAATAATCTTGTGATTACATTTTATAAGAGGTTACTCAAATTTTAGAAATTATTATGATTATAGTCATTATTGTAAATGTAAAATTTGCCATGTTGTATGTTTGCAAGACAAAGACAACACATGCTAGTGTGTTGTCTTCTTAAGTATTATAAACATTGGGAGTGAATAATTGTAAAATAATATACCACTAATAGAAATAATAAGACAAAATTGAAAATTAAATTATTAGTAAAAAAATTAAATATATTTATTTTATTTTACACTATGTTCGATTATTGTGGAATTCAATCCATATTGAGGATTAACGTTTTACTCCACAATTTCATTTCAATTGACATCCAGATGCTTCATAGCCTTCAGACTGGCAATCTAAAATAAATAGTTATATAATATTGTATAAAATATTTTATAAAATAATAATAACATTGAAACTAACTTGCTCCAGCCCCAGAAACATAACTTGGATAACCATAACTTGGATAACCATAACTTGGATAACCATAGTTTGGATAGTAATAAGTTGGATGACCATAACTTGGATAACCATAACTTGGATAACCATAACTGTAATTACTACTGTATCCTGGGCATGGAATATAAGGAGCATGTCCTAAAATAATGAACATTATACAATACTTTATTTAACAAAATAGATTATAAAATAAATGACTAATAAAAAATTTTTAGAAAAAATGTATAAGATCATTTGATCAGTTGTGACTCATTGAATATAGTGTCTTTATAACTGATTTCTACTGTAAACTGTGGACAGAAAATACATTTACCTCTATTGCAGTAACCAGGATCATGAGGCGGATATCCAGACTGAGGTAGAAAACCTGTTTAAAATATTTAATGTAGTATAACAATAAATTATTATTAAATACAATATTTATGGTATTGAATAATAAATTATGATGTATAATTACCTCCTTGGCCCATAACATTTCTTTGCGTGCCTGCCATATATATTGAATCACCACGCATTATTCCATGACCCCATTTACTTAATGATGACACTTTTACTTCTACCTAATTATAATTTAAAAAGATTAAAAACGTTGGAGTAATCATATGTATTATTAAATAATTACTTGTGTCCCCTTAATCACATGTCTTGACGATCCTAATATTTCATGTACTGCGCGCATGTTATCGAATGTTAAAAAGCAAAAACCTCTTCGTTGCTTTGTAACTTTATCATATGGCATCTCAACGTTTACAATAAATGCAAATCGTCTGAAATAACGTGTGATGTCTCCAGGAGTTAAATCAGGAGACAAACCTCCTATAAATAATTTAATTTTTCGTGGTATCGCTTTTTTAGGTTCAATTATTTTGCCATTAATTTCGTGATTGGTATGCTCAAAGACCTATTAAAATAAAATTCAAAAATAGGTACTATAAAAATAATTTTCAACATTTTTGAATAACACACACAATTTGAATCTACCTATATATTAATGGAATAACGAGATAATATTATTCTTGGTCATAACTATTTTACCAGAAATTAGAACATGTAAAACTAGAATAGTACATGCAAACCTGATCATTGAATTACATTAAGAGTAGTAGAGGCTATATAAATTAATAATAAATATAAACAAAAATATTAAAATGTATATGGTTGAATTAAATGGTATAGAAAATAAATTTAATGTATTCCTTTATCTACAATAGATCAAATTTCACAAAATTGTAATTATTTCTTATTTTTTGCAATAAAATACCCTTTTCTTAAAATTGACTTCTGTTGATAGAATGTTATTTCAATGTATAATTATTCTTGTCTACTTACATTGCACATCTGTTTTCTGAATCTTTATCACATTCTCAAAATTATTACATATTTATATGGATATGCAGTATGAAAAGTATGTGCATTTTGAAGAATATTTAGGTCATGTACAAAATAATAAATTACTATTATGCCAACTTACTGAAATACTATTCACACATTAACCATAAAATTACTTCTCAATGAAATACATACTGAAAATAACATTACCTATACAGCCCATTAATAAGTGATATCACCTAATTAATTACAGAAGTATATTAATCCCAAAATGTTTGTTATAATTTGAAAATTAAATTTTTTAAATGAAACAGTGTACTAACTTTTTCTAGGCTTTCCAATGTCTGATACACAATGAAAGCGTATCCTCTGCACCAACCAGTTGTAGCATCTACTTTGACAGCAATATATTGGATTGGTCCGAACTGACCAAAGTGTTCCCCTAAATCTTCTAAAACATATAAAACAGTATTCGATTATGATTTTTGGGAACTACCAACAGGTATTTTTAAACAACTTGCCTTGAGTAGTTTCTTTCTCGAGTCCTCCAACAAATATTTTTCTGCAAAACAATAATAGTAATCATTTTTGAAAAGTTTGACTATAGAAATAACGAACTCGATGCAGACCATCGTCAGGCTAAGAAGGGGAGCACCGAAATAAGTTCAGACCATAACTTATATGTAAATGCCCTAAACTTGGGATTTTTGTACTACTAATCAGTGACATTATAAACTTCAGTTTTTCAAAAGGAAAACGTTTTTCACTTTTAACTATTCAGCAGATATTTTTTTTTTGTGAATTTCTAATACATCTAAATCAAAATTTGAACTGTTAGTTTTTGATTTATGTAACATTATGAACTAAAGGATAATATGTCTATAGCAATGGGAAAGTAAATTTGGGATCTTAGATGATTTGAAAATATTAGTAATTACTATTGATCTATCGATATATATATGATTTGTAAAAATAATCTAAGTATAAGGAGTAGTAGGTACATCTAATATTTCATGTAGTTAATATTTTTTTAAAACTATAATTAAGGATTATTCTTGCTATAAACATTTAAATAACTGAGAAATAAATTATTTTCATTTTGATTTAAAAGCAAAAAAAAAATTCAAGAAAATCACCCACTAAGTAATTTCCACTCAAAAAGAGGTTCTCATTTTAAATGTTGTATTTTATATTCCTATTTCGCTTACTTCTTAAGCAGTACAAAAATTTCAGAATTTCAATAAATGTATTTTTGAAGAACATAATGGAGGTGAGCATGTTTAAAAATCCACCTGTTTCGTAAAAGGTATTCATTGTGGTACGGTTTAAAAAAAAAAAATTTGCATTGATTTTCCAATAAACAAAAATAGTCCCAAGACAAAATTCATTATAAAAATGTAGAATATTTAATTTAAACACTGTTTTAATTTAAAGAACTATAACAAAGTGAGAAAAGTGATTTTATATATGAAAATCAATAAAATATTTAAGTGTGAAAAAGTGAGCATGTTAAAAAAAATATGAGAATAATGATAAATAGTCACTCATGGCAACTCTAAACGGAGGCATACCAAAAATCCATTTTATAACTTCTCTTGGAGAAATTATGAGACGTAGTTAAAACGGAAAACCGTATCAAGAGAAGCCGTGCACACGCCCAACATTTTTTTTTTATTCAAGGAGCTGATTCGAACGACAATATTGTCTTACCTATCATCTTCACGGACGAATCTAGTTTGTCCTGGATTATTTGTTCTGAAATTTTCGGCGGAATCTTCAAAATGTTGCGAGCTGTCTTGTTGTAGATATACAGCCATTCCTGATGCGTGTATACGTCCACTTGCAAAAAAAAAAATAATACTAATACGCCTAAATATTTGCGAAAATAATAAAGCGGCGCTGTAATTTAATAATACGAAATAATTATTCAAGTTAAAATGTACGCAGCTCAAAATTTAATGAGAACGGAGGCGACGGAATAAGGGCCGGTACCTGACTGAGTAAAGGGTAAGAACTAAGAAGTATAGACGGGACAGGGTCGAGATAGCCTCGGGAAGCGAAAAGATATTGCCGCTAGAGTATCCATACCAGTAGCGCTGCACAACGGCGAACCACGATAACAGATGATCAGCAACACCTCGTTACCTAGTTAGTAAACTAATTTTTTTGGCAAAATGCAATTGGCGCGGCAATCCATTGCTGTCCATAGTAAACTAAAACTATAACTTTAGACATACCCGGGGCTAAGATATGATAGTATATCGTAGCGTATTTAAGTTTGTACCAGATATATCATATAGTAATAATATAATATAATAAAGGCACATTCACAACTACAACTGGTAACGAATTGGTTTAAAAATTATAGTATCTTGTTCCGTGTCATGATCTTATACAAATATTTTGATTCAAAGAATCATACTTTTGATACAAAACTTTACCATGAAGTTGAAAATTGACATTTTTGAAGGTAAGATTCGCTGGGAAAACGTCAAATATTCTGAAGTTATGACTGGTTGATCCTTCGTAATCTATTTCTTAGTGACAAAATATGTACCATCTATCGTTATATTATAAAACCATATTTAGGTTCTAGTTTTAGATTCTTAGTATATCATTATTTTCAACTTCAGTAACTTATCTTGCGTGAAAATTAATCAAGTTATTAGTTTTTATTCAATGTTTTATATAAATAAAATATTAATTTTCAAAATATTTTTACTTTTTTAAGCTGTTTAAAGACATTTTGATTAAAAAACTGACAAATAGAATTTTGAAATTTTAACACGATAGGTTCCTCAAACCTACGTGGTTTTGACAGTGATTTAAAAATACTAAAGATTCTTTGATAATTTCAATTTATTTCATAAATATTTATAATCCAAATTTTAATAAATTCATAAAAACCATGAATTGATATTTATAAATTATTTTTTAGTTGAATATGTATTTATAAAAGGTGTATTTTATTTTTAGATAAGGATTGAAAATTTCAAAAAAGTTTCTTGTAATTAATTATTTAATTTTCTAATCGAAAAATATTTTCACTGCTTTTTATAGACTAACATTTTAAATTTAAATTCAGACTAAAGTAGATATTTAAATGAAAAATAAAGAATTAGTTAATTTCTAATAATTTAAAAATATTATTCCTGTTTACTACCTACTGTATTACAAATAGTAATATATTCGTCTTAATACTTCAGATGAATAATACCTGTATAAACATTACATTTTATAAAAATATTTAAATATCTATCCATTTTTTTATTACATTGTACGTAGTTTATTGTCTCGCATTTTTTTCACCAGATAAACATAATAATTATTAATTGTAGCTATTTATTAATACTTTAATATATGGCATATGTCTACTTATATTTAATAATGTGATCTATAATGATTTTTGTATACTATTACGGTTTAATTAGATTGTTAATATTCATAAAATAAATCTATAACTATTAATTAAATTATTAAAATAAGAACCATGATTGAGTAGAGTTTATCTAAATAATTAATATAGTCTTATACTCCGATTAACCGTGTATGAACCTAAATTATTGTTACTCGTGTAACGATTTTTAATGGTTTTGTTTTCTTATTTTGTGGAAGATAATAAAAAACGAAAAACATGTAGATACATGCAATTTTCAACAAATAATTATATTAGCTTTGTCGATATATTTAAAAAATTTAAGGATTGAAAATCAAAAGTATGATTCTTTCAGATAAGTAGTTAACATTGTAACCAACAAATATATATTACAGTGTTTCACATAGAACGCAGTTAAACGAAATGCTTTGTGATTTTCTGTTGTAGGTTGATGACATTGTCCTCATAATTTTTGATACCTATATCGATTTTGATGTTTTTAGGGATCAATCAATATATTGTGTATTTTGTTTATTTTTCGTTATGGAGCGGTATACAATCGAGCAAAGTGTTTTGTCCATTAAAACCCATTAAGAATATGGTGAGTGTGTGGCGGTAACTGTTAGAAAACTTAGTACGACCCTCGGACACCGTGAAGCACCGACTGCAACAACAATAACGATTTAAATTTAAAAAGACAGAATCAACTGCGAAATTAACGAGAAAAATTAAAAACCGCGTTCTTTATGAAACACACAATCCATCTGGTATATATATTAAAGAATATATTTTGCTAAAAATATTCCGATTAAGTGTACTGGTTTCGAATGTAACTAATGTCTTTACTCTTCACAGTAAAGGTCCTCTGAATATCGATTGTTATAAGTTTATGATCTTATTAGCCAACCGCTAATTAGTTATTGACCGACAGTAATTATTTTAGCGAGTGACTCACTGTGACTAGGTCCAAATATTTTTGTTTCACGCGATTGCGATAACAATTAATGAAGTTATAGGTCATAGGGTCATATACTTATATATAATATATGTACAGTCCAAAAACCGAAATTAGTTTGAATTCCATTTTGGGGGTTTCTGATTTACCTAGTGAATAACGTTGGTCATTCACACTGAAGTGGTTTCGCTGTCTTAATTTCTTATATATTTATACATTTTATACATATTAATAATATGACATCCAATGCAGTAACTATCATAAAGTAAATATGGGTAATCATCAGGCAGTAAGTTATATTAGTGTCACCTCTACTGAGTTTTTTTCTGACTGAGCGAAAGGTACTTTCGGCAGAGTTTACTTGGGCCGTATTATAATACGAGTTTATAGGTATGACATCCCGGTTATAGAGCTCGAAAACAACATTTATACGAATAGGTACAAATTTACGTAACCGTTCAGACCTAGCCATCTGGACTTAAAAAATATAGTAAATTTAATAAATCAATCAATCAATCAATTAATCAATACGCATATATTATCAGTAGTAAAAACTAATAGGAAATTAAAATAAAATATCAAAAACAGTAAAGTTATTTATTATATCTCTCTAAAAAGTCAATATTCAATATCAAGAGCAATTATTTTTATTCATATTGTTTATATTTATTATAATGCAATTTCATTGAAAAACATGTTATAATACATATTAATGAAGTCAAATATGTTGGTTGATTCCACGTAAAAATGATAAAATTTGGCAGGTACTACGTAATATTTAACTGTAAACTATAATGTACGATACCATTATTATAGTTGTATACTTGTATAATGAACATCTTTGATTTTAAACTCATGTACCCACCAGAAATACAACATAATTTTATATCCTGTATAACTTAAAAATTACGATAGATAACTATAACCGAAATACGATAATAGAGCATATTCGTCGTGTATGTGGGTTATCTATTTATTTTTGTGTTATTGTACAATGTAGTATAACAAAGGTCCAAATTAAAATGCGTCATAGATTATAAGATAAATGCTGAGTCCAAAGTGGTAGAACCCGATTGCGTATACAATTTATCTTTTTGAGAATACGATGGTGAGTGTTCGCTTACAGCTGTATAAAATTGAGAACCCTTAAAATGACATGATCGCGTATATGCCTATACTAAACGTTACCAAATGTATAATTTTACAGTGCTTGAGTCTAAATTGTGATGATTTTAATGTGAATGTTTAACTATGTAGAATGAGCTTACAAAATAATATAATTAACAACAAATAGTGTAATTAATACAAAAATTATAATTCAATCAATTTGCTGATTGTAATTATTTTCATTGCAATTTCTATTTAATTAATAATTAGAAAATATGTTATATTTATTTTATATTTGAACTAAAATACACGATAAGAACGGTCATCAGTCGACCTACTAATGAAGTCTATTGCAGTGGTTATAATAAGTGTGGACTTTTATTTCACAACAATCATTTTATATCGGTTTGTCTATCGTACCTATGTGATTTTTCAGCCCGGCAACGTTGCACAAAATTAAAGAACAGAATCTTGTGATGAAAAAGATTGAAAAAGGTACCACCGATAAGCAGCGTACACAATTATTATTGTATTCTACGAATTTGGGAGTGGCATTGAATATTATAATATTATAATATTATTACAATGTAACCAAGATATGGATTTTAACTGCGTATAATATATATAATATATATATATATATATATGGGGGTCAAATCAGTTGCCAACGTGATATCATTTTTTTTGGCTTATCCTACGCATTTGAAATGTGTGAAAAAAATTTTTTTTAATATATCTATTCCGTCGTGCATTGTGCACCATACAACTGTGAAATAGAAACTGTGCGACGATCCTTATTTTTCGGTAATTTTACAATTACGTTCACGGTGGGTGCCGATGTGAAAGCGTATAATATTATTGTTGGCTGGGCAGTGGGTACTGGGCAAGCACAGCAGCGTACCTACCTATACAGATTACAGATGTATAGGAAAACTGTTAAAATACTCTTATTCTTCTGGGTACTGACAAAAATATACGACTGAAATATATAATAATAATACAAAATTATATTGCATTATTATACATACATAAAAAAAACAGCTATATAACTATAGGACGACTTGAGTATACACAAATAAATAAGTACCACAAATAAAAATTTTGCAGTAAATTGCTGACGTATTTTAAAATTTAAATGTCAAACTATTTTGAATTCTTAAATCCATATAGTTTCTTATGCTTAACTTGGTTTTTATTCTTATTTTATATAAAATTAACATTTAGAATTACTTTATGCATACAAATGCTTAATATCAAAATTTCAACCCAAAAACTCAAAAAGTTGAATTTCACTTTAACTTACTTAAGGTATACACCTTTATTAGGCGTATCATAGAATTATATTTTAAGTACTTAACCATACGCATCTACCAAACAAATGGAGAA